AATGTGGATTTTCGTTTGCATTTTAATAGGGTTAAATCGGGTTACAGTTGGACGTTGAATCTAATGCAAATATGCCGCAATATTAATGTTGATATTTATTTCAATACATAAATATGGAAACAACGTGGAACTTGTTTGGAGTGGAGGACTGTTCAATGGACACAATTATAACGATTTTGGATATTTCATTTCAAACTGTCAGCAATGTATTTAATCCATTGAAAAATTTGCAAAATATAAAATCCTAGTACTTGACTTTATATATAAAATCAGTTGCCAAGAAATATTTATTTGTCAGAAATTGAAGATCAATAAAATAAAGAATTGAAAGCGAATTCTCCACATTGAGGTCACTGCAAGTGTGCATTGAAAATGCATCTATTCTATGAGTTAATTGCAGTAATTTCAGAGTTTTTTAAAGAATTATTTACTTGGGCCTTCGAGGCTCCTAGAAATTCGATATTCATTGCTAAATAAGAATAGACTGTAAAGTTACAAATAAATAAAGTGAACAATTGCTGTATAAAATATCAGAGTAAATTGTATTGCGATAATACGTTGAATTGAAAAAACGCCAATAGCCAAATATACAATTTCACTTTTTGTTGTTGCTTTTGTTCAGGGTTTAGGAATTTTCTGAAAGAACTTTCTAACTATTTCTGTTTTACCAGCCAAACATGAATGGTTGTGAAATACTCCATAAGACGCGAGTTGAAATCACATCTGAAAAATGTAATCAATGGTAGATAATTAAGTTTTTAACTTCTGTTTGAAGTTCTGATTTTTACAGTGAGTAAATTATTTGTATAGTTTCATTTGTAATCCTACACTGAAGTTTGTTGCCTTAGTATACAATTTGAAGGTTTTTAAAATATTTAGGACAAATTTATGGCTTTTACGACTATGAATTATACTACTTTAATCCCATGTAGTAAACATATTTTCACTTTCTACTTCTGTGAGCTGAATATATCTATACATTCAAGCCTAGTGCTCGTTGTTTCCAAACAGTCTTCTTTTCATAAAATCATTCTTTGGAAGTGCTCGATATCCGAAATGCTAATGTAATTTGACTGCATAAGAACGCCTATAATGTTCGATTTGGGAATCGAAGTCAATTACAGTTTAATGAATTTGCATTTGGTTCTGGAGAGTACGTTGAAAGTATTTTACTATTGTTTTATTTTATTATCTTATAATATAATACATTTTGTTTTATCAACCAAAATGTCCATAAACACGGATTATCTAAGCTGTAAATAAATAACCGTTATTAATTCTTTCATTCAGTAGAGATAAAGACACCAGAATGGTAGTTATATAAAAATGCAAAAATTCGGTTAAATCTGCCAAATTTTGATAAAACTGCTAAAATGTGAACTGTTCATATATTTATCCAGATTATGGAAGTCAATTTCATTTTCGTGAAAGTAACCCCTCGTAAATCTAATACTGGAGTGTAGGTTATGCATAGTAATCTCCGACCGTGGCTGTATCTTTCCGACCGGCAAACTTCTACCTTTCTGGAGAAGTAAACTCTCTGAAAGTTTCTATGCCGGCCAACTAACAAAATAATTCCGCATAGAGCTACGTGCAAATGCGGCATGCAGTGCCGTTTCTCAGGATACTTTTTGATATGCATGGTCTTTTTAATATTTCAACTGACTTTTGTTCTATCCCGCCTGTATCGCGTTTTGTTGAGGGTTTTTCCGACCACGTTGATAACAGGATCGGAATTTTGCCATTTTTGCTACCGACGCTGTTCTCCATGATTATACTTTGTATTCAGCAGCCGGTCTATTTCATTTGTTTTTCCGTTCTTTTAACAGTGTTAATGTTATTCCATTGCCATTTTTTTACAATTATTAAAAATACTGTTTCACTTTCGTATTGCCTAGTTTAAAGCAGTATTTTTCGTATAAATAACTAACTTCTCGTATAAGCAAATTTTTAAATGATATTTTTTTAAAAATAATAAATGAAAAATGAAATTATTTCCCATAGTGTTTTGAGCATCAGGAACAGATGGAAAATTGAGCCGTATACTTGTGGAGTCTTATAAATTTTCATCTAAACATTGTGCAAATAAAGTTGAGTAATTGCATTCAATAAAATAAAACATGTTAAAATGTGATTTGGGCAGAACAGTGTAGGGGCACTAAAAAGAACCAAGCAATAAAAACAGAACAAGGTGAATTGAGAAGCACACCAATCGAAGAAAATCGTTTTCAGTAGAGCAGAAAACAGCAGCAGCTTTAATGATATCTAGAACGCATTTTCAACTGATGAATTTTAGTGAACGGTATAAAATTAAAGTTTCACTGTTGCCGATTTCAGGGTTGCAGAGTCGTTAATATTAGTGTTGATATTCAACAGTAGGAAAACTAAAATGATCAGGTGATGTGTAAGAATTGGAAACCTTCAATCAGTCTTACTTCTTTCGCGTTTAGAACCTATCGGCGCATTTTCTAACAGATTGTTAGCAATTGATAGCAATATAACCATAAAGTGTCCACAAATAAAGTTAACAAGATACAAATTATGTTAAGTTTTAGGAGAAATGTATATATGAAAACGAAATTATATTGAAATTTTTGCCGAAAATATATTAAGTTATTAACAGTTTTCGTAGAACAGGAGATAATATGAAAGCATATTGTTCTAAAGCTTGTGAAGTGTTTTAACAACTTAGTAACTATAAACCACACCCGGAAATTAACAAAAAACTTGTATCTACTATAAAGTAAGTGATAAGACTTGCAAGTGCCGACAGAAAATCGAACTGGAAAACATTGATTTAGAGGAAGAAATTATTAGAAACTAATACTTATTTAACACGTTCATACCCAAGATGCATATTGGCGAAAGTTTTCGGTCAAAGAATTTTACTTCAATAATTTGATATGCTTTAAAGGCGCGCGCCCAACAGACGAAGTGACGCTTAAGATCAGGTTCAAGCCGATTTAATTTTTCTACTAATAATGGAAAACAGAATATTTCATTCTTTCTATCTTCCTATTAATTGCTAACTAAATACCGGGTGTCAATTTGAAAACTTCCCACCTTCAATATCTTTCTTGCAGTTGAAAACATGAAAAATCGGAAAGACCCGTCGATTTTATTTGTAAGGGGGACACTTTAAATACATATCTTTAGCCTCCTTGTTTCAACCCCCTAGGAAGGGTAGATGCCACCCTTAGAATTTTAAATGGAAAGGGGGTCAGTGGCGCATCGTTTTAAAGGGCGTTCAATTCTCTTTACATTAGTTACTACTTTGTTGCTTGCAGAGGTTTTCGAATAATCGCGTTTCAAAATTGTAGAAACAATTAAATTTGCGTAATCTAAAAAGTAAATCTCCTTGTAATAGCAGAGTAGGTTACACTGGTAAAATCGTTGAATAACAGGAAGAAAATCTAGTTTAAGCAATTTATGTCGGATTTATTGATTATTTGACTTCGAGAAAAATCACTTTTAATTTACGGCAGAGAAATTTCTACAATAAAACCCAAGGGATCTACTTACGCACTATCTTATAAATTGTTCAAAATGTTGTCTATTTTCGAACCCTTCCTAACATTGATAAGATATTCTCGGATAGATCGCTTGGCAGAAGACGATTTAATGGCCTCCAAGATCACCGGATTGAATACCCTTAGACTTCTTTCTTTGGGGACATCTTAACTCCATGGTTTATAAAACACAACCTGCTGATATTCATGATTTTAAAAGGCTAATTTCAGCAGAATTCCGGTCAATTCCCGGTAAAGTGTTGCGAAAAGTTAGGGAGGAGTTTGGGAAACAGACTTTATTATTGTTTACAGCAAACTGGACAAGATTTTGATCAATTAATAAGATAGTGCGTAAGTAGATGACAGGTATTATTGTAGAAATTTCTAAAATTTCCGTAAATAAAAAGTTATTTTTGTCGATGCAAAATAATCAATAAATAAAAAATCAAAGTAAAAAATTATAAATCAATGTTTAAACTAGATTTTCTTCCTGTTATACAACGATTTTAACAGTGTAATTTACTCTTCTAATCATCTGTATTACAAGGAGACCCAATAAAATGGTTTTGTTTAATTGTTTCTACAACCCGGTATGTCCCATATACAGGATGTTTAAATGAGTCCCGGCAATAATTAAGAGGGTTATTTCTATTATCATTGTAAGAAAAGGTTTCTATAAACATGCAAATTTGTACAGATATTTGCATTTGAATAATTTTTTATAAACCGCTTATAGCATTTCTTTATAAAAGAACTAGGAATGTATATTGTATAATGAATGATTCATCAACTTTTATCTTTTCACGCCGTACTTATAACACTTTGCTTTCTTTCTTATTCATCCGACTAATCACTTACACTTTATGTATTATTTCAGTCTATAAAATTCGCAAGCTCACATGCAAGCGTTATTCCCAAATGGTCCCAATTATCTGTGCTACCCGAAATTATCAGTTGTTCAACAAAATGTCCCTAAACGTATTAGAATTCGGAAGTATTTGAACTCTGTAGATGCTCAGATTAACATGTTTAAATTTCGTATTCAAAACATCGTATGCCGCTTTAGAATAACTGATTTTTTCAGTGCATTGCACTTCAAGATATTCTTATTTTCTTGTTTCTTTTATTGAAAACGTTTTGATTAAATTGCCAAGATGTTTTTTGTTTTGTTTAAGTTCTACTTAGAAAATCCGCCCCTGTTCTCATTTTGCGCTTCTAACTTTCCTTAAAACGTGCACATTCAGACTTATTCAACTTATATTCCCTGTGTAGTCGTTACGCACTGGCGACACACTTAAATATTAAGAAGTTTTTTGGTACTTCTCCCCGCAAGGAGTTGCCAGCCAATTCCTTCAGAAACTTTTATATGGATCAGCACTCCTACGGTAATAAAATTTAAATGATTGAAAATACAAGAACTCTCCATTACACTTAAGGATAATTGATTAGCTCTGCGATCTGGCAAAGTTTAATACAATATTATTTTTTCAGTTTGGACCGTGACCAGCCTTTCACTTTCCAACTAGGAGTAGGCCAAGTAATTAAGGGATGGGATCAGGGTCTCTTAGACATGTGCGTAGGAGAAAAGAGGAAACTCACCATTCCCCCATCTCTTGGATATGGCGATAGGGGAGCTGGAAACGTTATTCCAGGTGGCGCAACTCTTCATTTTGAGGTACAAATCAATTAATTGTAATTTCTTTATGTTATTGTTGTGAATTATTTTTTGTGCAAAAAGAACATCCACCACATTGCATTGAGTTTGCTGCTAATCAGACTTTTCGATTAGAAATAATGCATGTTTTTCATTTATTAACAGATTAAATAAATGAACGCGATGCGCTATTTATATTCGCTCCAAGGCTTGAATCAGTTTGATGTGCTTTTCAGCAAATGTTTACTTACTGCTCCCATTTTACTGATATATATGGCTAAAACTATACATGTTTTATAAATATTTTATCATGTTTGTATACAGGATGGTTTATATAACGTGCTTATATTGTAAGAAAGTGTGTAAAGGGTAGTTTTGAAGAGCTTGTTGCCAGATAGGAGATGCTAAGGTTTATATTTGATTTCCTTCCGAGAAAATCATTCTCTTTTTGTAGATATTGTTAAAATTGTCTGTTTCGCTCCGTAAGACATTTTCTCTACTTATGACCAGAATTTCTTTCGGTTTATCCCTTATTTCGAATAAAGAAAGACGTCTTTATAAAATTCCACTTAAAAATTGAGGCGTTATTGTAGATTACAAAAATGTTTCATTTGCAGTTACCACATTTTTTCTTCAATTCAGAATTATTTATCGGCAAAAATTCAAGAATTTCTATTTCATTTTTGGGTAGTAAAGTATAAGCGATGTTATTCGATTTATTTATTTTCACATGGTACTTTTTATTCCAATTAGTACATGGAAAAACCTCTTAGTTCATCAGATTACTTCCAAAAAATTTGCCGAGCATTTTGAAATCCTCTGGAAATGTGCGATTTAAAAAATGTCCGTTCATGTATTAAAACAATTGAACTTGTCAATATTTTTTTATCATCTTATTTATTTTTAGGATTTTCAAGATTTTTTTCAGTGTGTACACACCTGCTTCCTTCCTTTCCCAATAATTGTTAATTTCATTCATCTTTAAACTTTATTGAGTTAGATTAAAATGAGCATTTCGTGACATTGCGGTTTTAGTGATTTTAATATACAGGTTGGTGCTGTTTCCAGGACATAAACATTAGATATCAATAGAGGATCGTAAAACCATATAAGTTTTCGTAATTAAAATATATTCAAAAAACCCTTACTCAATTAAATACAAGGTGTGTACGACATACAAATTTATTCAAGTGAGTGAACTACTCTTCGAATATTCTTTAATTTCCATTTTTATTTATTTTTGTTATTGTTGTTGAACTCCACTGATTAAATTTGTTCCTTTTCTTCGCAGTGGTTACAGTTTTTTACCCGTCTTCTCTTTACATTTTATTGTTTAAAAATTTAAATTCGAATTGAGCAGAATCAAAACTTGATTTAAAATTTATAAAAAAAGTGGTAGGTAGCGGGCCAGTAGTTTTCTAAAAATGCTCAGATACCAACGCCACTGATTAAACTAATTAATTGCCAATTTTCATTCAAATATATACAGCCGCTTGGTGACAATTCATAAATTTTATTTTGTATTTGGATTATAAAGCAAACTTGTCAGTTTTTATATTGTCTATTTTTGTCTGCTCTGTAAACTAGAACACCTTGTATAAATATAAATGTGTGAAAGCGGCGATCAATTTACTTATTCTTCAGATCATCGTTAGTTTTCTGTTCGAGTTTTTGAATGTATTGCCAGACTTAGCTGCCAAAAGAGGAGAACAGCTAGAAATAAAGAATAAGCCAAAAAAAATAATTACAAACTATTGTGATTTGCAAAATGTAGATACTAAATTTAAAACATCTATTAAATATGCATTTCATATTAAAAACAATAAACAGATGCAATAAAATACGGTAATCATTGTTTTTATAAAAGCATGTTTGTTGTTTGTGTCCAATTTACGTTGGACATAAACATGTTATTTATTGGCTTATTATCTCAAGGAAACTGTATAAAAGAGAAAATAACATGACAAGATCCAAATTATCACTGAATAGGGAAAACATTCAAATTGAAATACTTTAGTTATATAAATGTTTTAATTCAATAATAACTGCAACAGCAAGCAACAGAGTAAGAGAGAAATATTAAAATTTACAAATCAATTTTYGTTTWMAAAAAAAACTTCTTTGGAATTGTATTTTGAAATCAATATTTTTACATTTATGCWWTAAATCATACAGATACTGACTCTGATAGATATAAAAACATAAAGGTTTCATATAGACWCTTTGAGAACTTACCAGTTGTTTATTAAGTKTATCAGTCGATCCAAAGATAAATATATTCTTTCTTGATGTAAAATAAATGTTTTTAAATTAGTTAAGATTTTTTAGTGATTAATTATAGGCGACGTTGACTCTTGCAAGTTTAAACTTGAAATAAACAAGAATCAAAGAAAATGAAACTGCGTGTTTTGTATAAACCAAGTAAACTAGACTATAATATTATTTTAAAAGCTTCCATTGRAAATKTTACAMTTTGTTTTGATTTTACACCTATTTCCGATGAACTAAATTAGCAAATTAGAGAKACTGTTTCATATAAATGAATGTTTCCGAATTATGCCACATTYATACAATGCATATTTCACAGCGGTCAAAATATATYCCTATTTTATCAAAATGCTTGGAAAATCACCTGGAAATTATATCGAAATATCATGGAGCAAAAGTTAYAATTTCATTACAATTCGAAGCATTTCAACAGATTTTCCCGTTCATTTACTCCTCTAATAGATAACCATTTGCTTAGCTGCCTATATCGATTTTCCATGAAAATTCATAGTCATGAAATATTAGTATCTTAATTAATTATGTGTTGTTACATTAACAGATTGTTTGCCGGTCAATATTGTCCTAACACAACTACATTATTCTGAATACCTACCTATATTAATTAAGTCTCTCGAGTGATTATGTATGTAAATGCTTTGGATCGGCCTCTATGGATTTAACGGTACGCTTTCAACTTCGGCTGCATTTTCAGCAAAGTGCTTGAGTGTTATTCAAGCTAGCCAATAATAACAAAAATAAAATATCAAAACGTACTTTGATAGATACTTAATTAACATCCACAATTTTTTTTCCCAGGTGGAACTAATAAATATTGGAGACTCTCCACCAACAACAAACGTATTCAAGGAAATTGATGGCGACAAAGACAACCAACTTAGCCGCGAAGAAGTAAGTACATTTAGCAATTAACGAATTTAAAATAGTCGCTTTCATCAAGCTCTTGTACTTACCTGAAAGTATGTTAATGAAATACATTAACTTTGAAAGTGACGATTCATTCATGTTTGTCAAAACCAAACACGCCTCCGTACTGTCGAGATAGTTTTCCAAAAAGGAAAAGTTTGCGAATTGTTTAATTGACCATCGGGTCGTTGAACATGAGTGTTTGTTAGAAACCGTCCACATACGACAATATTATTTATGGATGTGTTTAATTTCTCTCGCACAGAGAAACCCCAAGGAACTCTTACGTGAAAGTAAAACACCTGTACACAATATTATGATATCAGGCACTTACTTTAATTAACATAGTCGATAAGAATTGCACTAGTTGATTCCACAGTTACGAAAAGAAAACGCAAAATTAAATAAGTTTTTGCAAATATTCTGCACCTGTAAACAAACACACGAAATTTATCCTCGATATCGTTCTCACGACAGCGTTAAAGCAATTATATACCATTTAAAGTAAAGATTTTTTTCAAGTTGATTCTAACATTATCGGCGTGTTCAACCGGGTTTGAGCCATTGTTTATTTTTTGTTTCCAGTGTTTGTGGGTTTTAATACTTCGCCAGAAAAGTTCTGCATTGTTCGTTTGCAAATATCAAACAAATAAATTGGAAAACCCGAAAAATTATGTTTTCCGATATAATTCTGAATCGTAGTCAGTTTTATAAACTTTAGAAATTTGTTACTTTTATAAATTAAAAATCAGCGTAATAACTTCGCCGCATTTTTTTTATGTATTTTGTTTGGAAACTTACGTTTGGTCAAAATATCAATTTTATTTGTCTGAATCGATCCACGCGCTTTTGGTATTATTCATTCTTCTCTCAAATCAAAAAACTTGCTTAAATTTTTTCAACCCTCATGTTCTTCAAAATCGTCTGTTTCCTGAAAATAAATTCCAATCAGTGAAAACGTTTTTGATCGTCGCTTCACTAAATATTCGTCATAAAATTCAAATACCCATATTCAAAGAGAAGAAAAGAACTTTCGCTTTCAGATTAGTACCATAAATAACACTCATTTAATTGTTGCTAATCACAGCCGTTGTACCTGAGATTGATTTATTTCAAGAGCTTAATTATAAGGTTCTGATATATTATTTTATTATTAAGCTTTCATTTTAAACAATTCTAAATTTCCTTAAAGAAAACTAATTAATTATTGTAGCCACTGCTAATTTTGTTGCTCTTTTCAGATAAGCGAATACTTGAAGAAACAGATGGTAGCAGCGGATGGCGGTAATCCCAGTGAAGAAGTAAAAAACATGTTAGCTGAACATGATAAACTAGTTGAAGAAATCTTCCAGCATGAAGACAAAGACAAGAACGGTTTCATTTCCCACGATGAATTTTCCGGCCCTAAACACGACGAACTTTAAGCATTGCTAAATGTATAAAAGCTTGTTTTTGATATCACTTAAAAACGAACTGTTTACCTTTAATTATGAACGTTGTTTATAAAATTCCATATATGTATGTACGCGTGATATGAAGAATAAGTTTTCAAACCATTCGAAAACGACTGAACACTCCGGACAGTGTAAGTTTAAGTTAAAAAATATCATTCAGATCGTTCCATGTTATTATTTGTAAATTAATTTTATATATTTTGTGTTATTCTGATACCTAGTGGAGGTATCAAAAGTGTTTGACTTCTCAAATGCTTAATCACATAAGTGGAGGTATCAAAAGTGTTTGTCTTCTCAAATGCACAATTACATTTGCGAAGTCAAACACTTTTGATACCTCCACTAGGTATAAGCACATATGTTATTAATCCGGAAATCATGTCTAAATATTATTATTTTGATTGGCTAGACATGATTCATGTATATTTATGTTATTCGATAATAGTACTTAGAATATATTTGCTTCCATCTTTCACTAGGTCAATGTTTCGGCGAAATTTATGTAAGTCGTTGTATAAAGAGTTAATAAATTAATAAAAGTTTTCTACAAATAAATATTTGTCTTATCTGCATACCCAGACAGTTTAGGTTTCAACCCGACAAAAACGGTTTGAATTCGACCTGAGAAACACTGCAAGTAACAAAATCATGTAACTATATTACATAAAACAAAAATTACACTTTACTATCTAAAACCACAGCAAAAAAGAGGAAAATCCTTAGGAAAAAATACTTATTAATGCTTGCTTTAATTCTAATTTACAATGGTATCAAAGACAAATTCAGGAAACGAGACTAGTGGTTACTTTTGCGAAAAACGGCAGAGAATAAAAAATAAATAAATCCTATTCTAAGCAAAAATTCTAAATTAGAATAAAATAAAATCAACAATTATTATATTAAAATGAGTCGCATTCGATTACCTATTTATTATCACATTAACAATAATTCTCGCTATACACACAATTGATCAATAATCAATTTTCTTTTTACCTGCCTCCATTGTTTAATTACATCATAATTTACCGTTACATTAAACAACATTCATCGGCTCTTGGCGTTTATGAGAAATTTAAACTCAACTCTGTATATGGACTGTGCATCGGTTCCTTCAGTAGCCCTTAATGTAGGTTGACAGGTGTTTCTTTTCCTCCTCCGAGAGGCCGTTTTTAAGAGTTCTTCGTACTGGAAATGCAAAAACAGAAAATCAGTAGCCATTGGAGCTGTACCTTAAATACGTGCACCATTTTAGCAAACATTCATTATTACGCCTTTGCCTATTTTACTATCTATTCACAAAAAAACTGTTGCTTGTTGATATGAAATATTAGTACCTAATGAATATCAAAAGTTAGGAGCACACAAAAGCTCACACATGAACGCAATATTACGTAATTTATGGCGAATCTCGGCTACCATACGGGTTGTTTTCCCTTGTTCTGGATCTCTTGACTAGTTGAAAAAATCAAACTTGTCTTAACATTGTGCAAACAATATGTGTATCTAAATTATATCTAAAAATCTCAATAGTACATCTACCCTACAGTTTGTTTAAAAATTACTTACAAGACTTCCTATCAACGTGTCTAGTTCTTTTTCTTTCCCGTGGAGCTGTTCTAGGTCCTTTAGTAGCAGTTTTTACCAAACTTTCTAGAATTTCATCATCTCCATCAGTCAGATGCCCATTGAGTCCCGTAGAGTTTCTGCCAAGGGTGTTATTCTGGCTGGCGCTTTCTCTTCGCCTATGCCTCCAAGGTAAGGTGCCTGAAAAAGGGTTTTCTATAGTTGGAAACGATAACATTTTTTAAAGCTGCAATATCAGCGTGTGCGTATCGTACAACGAACATTTGTAGCAAGTCTTTGAAAATTTCAATTGAAGAAAAACTTAGGTATGAAATAAAACTACTTCTAAGTTGCTAGATGACGAGGTTTCATCAGTTTTACTCCCAATAACAGGGACTTAAAACAAATAAAAATAGTGTTCTGTGTAAATAGTGTAACTTTTGCTGTACCTTGCATGCTTTCCACGTCAGAAATATCGCTTCCGAGTAACTGGCGCAGCTCAGCATCGGCACGGTCCTCTTTTGAACGGAATTTTCCAATCTGAAAAAAATACACGTTTTTAATCAACATCCGCAGAGTTGCAGAAGAAAATAATAAATTACACACGGGATGAAGATAGATAGAAGATGAAGAAGGATGAAGATAGATAGAAGATACACGGGATGAAGAAAATTTGTAATGCGTAAAATTGATGCTTTCGCTATCGAAAACAGTGGCGAAACTGTGTAATGAATCCGCTGGTGGAAAGTAAGTCCTATCGCCACTGTTAGTTTTACCAATTGCAAATTTTCTTCATTCCGTGTGTAAAGTAATAACTTTTAAAAATATTTTTGTAATGTACAGGGTGTCCCAAAGGCTCTAAAGGTATCAAAGTTGCGTTTTTTTAAATGGAATGTCCTGTATATTATTGC